TTAGGCCAGCAAAATGGCTTCTTCTCTGGAACCCCAGTGGCTCTCACAGTAGTCACATCTCTTTTGAATAACGGCCCAGTGGGCTGTGTTAGTGTTGAATGTTTGATTCTACTATCTGCCATAAAATCCATCAGTTTGCCTTCCATTTTTCTTGTGATCGTGGGCTCCTGGGGGCCTAAGGAGATGGAGCCTGGTCTTGCCTGTTCCCTATAACTTTCGGTTTTTGCTAGTCTGTTAAGATCTGCTTTTTCTGGTGGTGATAGCTTTTTGTAGACAGCCTCCTAGTTTTGGAATTTTTATCATCTCATCTTTTGTGGACATTGCTTTTTCTAGTGTCCATACTTTTTGCATCATGCACATTGATCCCAATCTAGCTTTGGCTGATTGGTAGATCTGGGTTTGGTTTAGTTCCTGTTTTGGCCGTGTTTGCACCCTGCCCCTTGTTGATCTCTTTTTTTCCTGTGAACACTGTTGTCAACATATCTGTACGGTTTTTTGAGCCTCTATTTGGCCCCACTTTGCTTCCCTCTCATGGTTAATGCATATTTTTATGGTCATCTCTAAATCTTTGTTGTCCCCTCTTTTTCTCTGAGTTGAGTGGAAGAGTTGATTTTTTTTTCCTTTTGACTTTTGCTCAACTTGGGCCACAAGTGTCAATAAGCTTTGAACAGGGCTGTAGCTAAGCAGGTCAGGTCTGGACCATATTCAGCCATGAACTGATGTAAAAGGATTGGTCTGGGTGCCCTAGTCTAGTCACACCCTGTCTCTGGTCACCACCTGATGCACATATCCAATTGCTTTCCTGTCTATGGACCCTTTGGCTGGCCACCCACTATCAAAGGAGAACCAACCTATTTCACAGAGTTCTCAACATCTGTGGGTTCAACTTTGCTCTATAGTTCTCTGTATAGTTTGGTCCATGGGAGCCACTCAGGGGGATTCCTTTGTCCTGCTAGCATGCTTGAAATATCCTGCTTTTCTGAAAGTCCTTGAAATATTCTGAAATATCCTTGAAAATATACTACTTTTCTGATAAGAGCTGGATATTTCCCAGCTATTTTTGTAATTTTGCCCTGTGAGCTAAAATCCATTACCTTGCAAGGGTTCCTCCTTTTTCTCAGTGGAGAATTAGAACAAAGGCCAAAATATGGGCACTAGGGCATATGAAAATTAGTAATGGGTGAAAGGGTTCATATTTGTGGATTGGAAGAATTTAGGGGTTCTTACTACTTTTGTCCCATGTTGACATACTATGTGTATCTGTCCCTAAGTTTTCTTCTATGTGAGGTTATATCTTTTACTAACACTTTTTAGTGGACTGACTATATGCATTTTATTGTGGGAAGAAAGATGGTTCTCCTTGGGGTAGTGAAGAGATTATTTAGGTTGCTGACAGACTGATAGAAGGGTTCACTTGAAGTCTTGGGTACCGGGGAGTCTGGTACCAGTATGTAATCCATCTTCCAATGCTCTTTTGCACTGCTGAATCCAGGCTGTTTACTCTTCTCGTAAGTGCACTGGGAACTTCAATAATTTCATTCAAAGAAGTGCCAGAAGTTACATCTTTCAGCAAGGAGCACTCTTCTTACTTCACTTCCCTGAGTCACTCTTTAGGTCAAACTTCCTCTTGTATGTTTAGGGTCCACAAAGCAAATGGCCAGACAACTTGGGAGATCCCCAAGACTGATTCCCTAGATCAATAATGAAGGCCTGGTTCTGTTTCCTCTTGTAGTGATAGTTAACAGAGATGACTAGGTCACATTTAAGTAGTTTGTTCCAAATATTGGAAACCTGAACCTTTCAGAACAGTTACTTTGCACTCTGTGGAAAACTCAAGTATAGATTACTTTCCTGAATGAAGATGCACACACAGCAGGTTCTGATACCCATATTATTCACACAAACCTGGGTGCAGTGGAGACTGGCATAAATTGTGTAAAAACTTCATGTGGAGAACTTGTTTGCGAGCTTTATAAGCTGATGGAATTATGTCTTAAGTACATGGTTATATGTTGGTATTAATCACGAGAATCATTGATAATTTTCTTCTGGATTGGATACAGTGTGTATTTGCAGCAATTTGCCTTAGGAACATTGTGCTCAAATATTTAAGTGTTTCAAGCAATGTAAGTAAAATGAATATTATTTTTCTTTTGGTGTGTAGCACAGTGCCACAAACACACTGTCTTATTATATCACAGCTTTGTAGTTTAGAAGTCTGGGCATGGAATAGCTGTTTTCTTGCCCACATCTTTTTGGGCTGAAATCAGGGTGTTGCATTATCAGCTGTGTCTCATAACCTTTTTGCAGATGACTGGTTGTCAGCAGAAATAATTTTCTTGTCTGTGTGGAAAAGTGGGCCCCGTTTTTCTGCTAGCTGTGAGGCAGAGACCAGTGTCTGCCATGTGGTGCCCTGTAGAGGATTCATAGCATGAGTGTTTACTTTATTCCATGTTGGTCAGAGCACACCTCTGACCTTCTCTTCGGCTACTGGCTGGAGAAAATGCTGGGATTTTAAAAAAGCTCACCAGGTTATACCAGGCCCACCCAAATCATACATAACATAGCAAAATCATAAGCTTTTCATCGTAATCACTTTCTGAAGGGCGGGAGTTATTTGAAGGCAAGGGATATCGGGTGTCATAATGAACTTGCAATTAAGACTTGCAATTAAGTTGGTAACACTATGATGATAGCTTTTGGATAATGTCTCAGAGCTTTAGCTCTTTTGGTAAGAAAGTGCAGAGATTATTTATTGAATGAATCTTCCTGAATCTTCTTTATTAATTCAAAAAGGTTGCAGAACTTTATTGTGGGCCAGGTAATGAGCAAGGCACTGTGGGAAAACGGTGTAGTAACATAGGCGACACTCCTTGCTGCACAGAAGCTCTGAGAAGGTAGGGAGTCTCACATGTGTTCTAGAGGGTGCATTTTAAATGAACATATGAACTAGGAGCTAACTAGCAGGATATATATTTGTAAGTGCAGCAAGTGAAATCAATACTGTAGGTCTGTGTTAGTAAAAGTGTATTGTTTCTGAAAAATTTGTTTTATATTATTTTTATTTGTATTTTGTCACTTGCTACTAGATGGCAAAATGATAAATGTGAAATACTTAGGAATATTCAACTGGAAATACTTTAGGCTTTGAAATTTAAATATTTTCCTCCTAAAACCTTAGCTCAGATATTTCTTCATTTGACTTAATTAGAATTTAACCTGTGCTTAGTCGTGGAGATGCTGTCCTGGGACAGAGTTGATGCTTAATATTTACTTGTAGAATTGTCTTTTGGTTACAAAAAAAGAGCCTAGTTTATATACATCTTTCTATATTAATCTTTTAAAGATAACGTAAGTTGATATATAATTCAAATAATACAGGAGTGTAAAAATATTAGTAATCATACCCATTATGTGTATAACAATTCTACATGCATGGAGATACTGAAGTTAAGTGTGGTATATTTCCTTCAGTACTTTTCACCGTGCTTCTACACACATGCATGTATACATGCACAAGTATTACTGTCTGAATCTGTACTTGTCTATATTTATGTCTGTATCTTTCTCACTTATTATATATGTGTGTGTGTATACATTTATTGCCCATGTGAAATCAACTCATATATATATAGTATTCCCCAAATTCTATTTTTCCTATAACAATATGAACTTTTCTTAAATATCTTCTAGTTTTCCTTACTTGATAGCATACAAGGATGTGGAAACTTTTCATGTGAAGAAAAATGTCCTAAAAGCTGTTTCATTTAGAGTTATCTTTTCTTTAGGCAGAAAATAGTTACCTCTTATGCTAGCTTCTGTCACCATGACAGAGTACCTGTTTAGAAACTTCAGAGTGGGAAGGTTCATTTTGGTTCATAGTTTCCAAGGTTTTGGTCCATGGTCATTTGGCCTTGTTGCTTTGGGACTGAGGTAGGCAAAGCGTCATGGTGGGGAGCCCGTGATAGAGCAAGGTCGCTCCCCTTATGATAGTTGGAAAGCACAGAGAGAAAGAGGCAGGGCTTAGGGCTCTAGTAGGCCTTCCAGGAGGGCTTGTACTCAGTGACCTAACTCTTTAATATTTGTTCTCACCTCCTAAGGGTTCCTCTATTGCCAGCATGCCACGGGCTTGTAACCAGACCTTTAGCACATGATATTTTTGGAAGCATTTAAAATCCAAACCATAACAGCTAGCTTTAAAGACATGCTAGAGATCATACAGTTTCTCAGTACAGACACCAAAGTCTCCGGAGGATAGAGTGACAGGATTAGAGCGTAAGTGGAAAACAGAGCAAAACTCAAAAACTAAAATAAAAGGAAAGTAGACTAGGCTGAGAAAGAAGAGAATGAAGATATTGGGAATGAAGTAGTGGTCTCCTGGAGTAATGTAAACCCTTTATAATGAGTATTACTTGGTGCTTTTTATCGATCGGTTGGCTTTGGAATTAGAAAGGAAAAAAAAATTCAGAATTGTCCTCAGTTCTTTTGGAGAGGAAATCAAATTGGAGGTGAAATCAAGATGGGGACAGATTTTAAACATCTTCCAGTATAAAACTTTTAGCCAACATGGTGCCCTTTCCCCTCTAGCCTGTGTTGACTGCTTCTATGATGACCCATCAGTTTAAGTGGCCATCTGACCATTTTTCATCTTTTCCGAAATGGTCAAGTTATGCACTTTTTTAAAAGATTTGGAAATACCCACTTGTAATCTGATGATAAAAGATAGGAAGTTCAAAAATAATTGGGAATGAGTGGCCAACACTGTAAGCTTCTTTCTTTAAGGAGAGCTTTTAAAATGCAAGTTCTAATTGTGTATAAGCAGAGTGATTATGAGGACTTTCATGTTGTGATTGAAGCTGCTGTAGCTTTTTAGAATAGGGGCTTTTCGTGTATTTCCTGAAATTGAAACTGGCACACTTTCTAAAATAAGAAATCAGCATGTTTAGCAGTGTGAAAGTTTCAGTGGAGAGTTCTGAATTTAATTTTTCTTTTCCTCCTAGATATGTGTCACAAAGATGTCTACACGGAACTGCCAGGGAATGGACTCAGTGATCAAGCACCTGGACACAATTCCTGAGGATAAGAAAGTCAGAGTCCAGAGGACACAGAGCACTTTCGACCCGTTTGAGAAACCCACTAATCAAGTAAAAAGGGTGCATTCTGAGAACAATGCTTGCATTAACTTTAAGACCTCCTCTGCTGGCAAAGAATCCCCTAAAGTTAGGAGGCACTCTAGCCCTAGCTCGGTAAGTGCAGTCTTCCCATTTATCACTGAGTAAACAGAAGGAATATCCTGCTAATTCTAGCATTACACTGTGCTGAAAGACAGCAGTTCATCAGTGAATTTTTATGCATTTTCTCCAAGGGTGGTTTACTGTTTTAGAAGAGAGGACTCTTCACTCATAAGTAACCAGCAAGCAAAATGAATGAAATGATTCAACTTATTTTGGAAAAGCCCCTTTTTAAAGTAGTTTGTCATCAGAGGAATTTATAATTAAAAATTCTTAGCTTTCAGACTCTTGGAGAGATTCTTGAATTTACTTTCTTTGTGTGAAGTGAGGATAGTTTTGAAATTGGCAAATTAACGAAAGAATCTCATTTCAGAAGAAATGTCAAAATTTGTTCATGTTTTATTCGTTTTTCATTGGAAATATTTTATAGCTCAACAACTAGACATTGAAGTTGATCTTCAAAGAGAAATTCTATTCATCATTATGAAATTTACTGAACTCCAAATCAAGGCAATTATTGTCTTTTGACTGAAGGGGTTGTTTTAGTTTAGACTGTTGTATACAATAGCATAGACTACATGACTTAAACAACAGAAATCTATTGCTCATAAATCTATGGCTGGGATATCCAGTACTCTATCAAGCATGGTAAGTGCTAAGGGTATTCTTCCAGGTTTGCAAATGGCCACCTCTTTCCTCACTGTGTGTGTGGGTGAGTGGGTGGGTGTTGTGGGGAGCAGTGGTGGTGGAAATGAATCATTGCTCATGTCCCTTAGTATTTTAGTATAAGGGCACTAACTTCGTTAATGAGGGCTTCAGCCCAAAGACCCTATCTCCAAATACTCTTTCATTTGGGAACACAAACACTCAGTTGATAAAGGAAGTGTGAAATTCCAACGTGATTGCTAGTCTTTGCCTGTAATATTTTTACTCGAATTCATTTGTAAGACTGGTCTGTGCTTAACATTGTTAAAAAAAAAATCCACTGATCTTTTGAAATTAAATAATTTTCAGATTTAGCTTACATTTTATAAATGTTTTGAAATAGATGTGGTGTTTAAAAGATGAAAGAGTGTTCAGAGCATTTTGATTCTGTTTTATTTCTTGCTAAGAAATACATGCCTTTTCATAAATTTTAAGTTGTGTATTTTTATGGGGGCAAAACCAGAGTATGAAATGTCATCTTTTAGAAGAATATTGTCACTTCAGCTTAAACTGTATGATATTGCAGTTTTTGCATTACATTTTTTATTAAGAAAGATGAAATAAAAATTAATGTAACGTTTGTGAAAATTGACAATCTGTTTCTCTTCATACTGTTCTCCATAATCATTATCTGTGATTATAAGGTAGGCTCCATCTGTATCACAGATAGCACTGATTTCTGGGGGAATTTTAGATTTAATGTCATGTGGAAAAAATGAAAGGAGTTATTGAGAATGAGTACATCCAAAAAAACATCATATTTTATTGGATAGTTATCTTAATATTATTATGTATCAACCTATAAATGTTATATAGAGATTGGCATACCACATATTGTAATAAGGCATTTTTATACTCAAAAAATTCACTGTATATCTAAATTCAAATTTAAGTGATTATACGTATTTTGCCTGGGAGGTCTAGTTAAAATTCACTAGCATTTTTCTGTTGGTCACATTGTTTTGCTTTGCCCACTGGGGGCTCTTTTAGATTTTTTATGGCATCTTTTTAAGATATCGTCATCATTTTATTTTGAGTGCTTCCTTACTTTGTTCTCCAATGAGATGTTCTTAGTTTATATTTTTTTCTTCCTCTGACTTGAAATCACCCACTTCTCTAAATAGTGCCCCTTCCCCTTAAAGAATGTTATTTAGAAACCAAGAGTTAGATGCTAGATATGCTTATTGGTACTGGGAGTCATGGAGCTTTAAAAGTCAGTACATATATAATAACATAAATGATAACAGTGGGAGTTTGATATTCATTTTTGACTTTTCAAAAGCAGTTAAAACTCTTATATGAAAGGTAGGAGTTGTCTCTCTAATGTGCTCTGTATCTCTCTCTTTAAAGTTAAATTTTATGTTTATTAAAGTAGCACTTGAGGATAGCTGCAAAGATCAAATAGAAGATGGTTCTGGGAAGAGGACATAGGTTTGGAAACTTCATATAATTAGAACGACTAGTGTGGTGAAACCAAAACCCGTGGATAGTGTCTTCAACAGATACAAAGGAACAGCCACGAGCCTCAGAATTGGACTTAGGGTACAAACCCTCAGTGCTTTTAAAGTCTGTGTGGAGTTAGTGTGATGGAGGAAACCCAGGGAAGGCAGGGGGACTGGTGAGCCCTCTTAGCCAGGAACACCCAAATTGTCATAAAGTGCCTACCAGTGGCTTCTTGGGCCATTGTCAGGACAGCAACAGCAGACAGGGGTTACATTGGTGACTCCTATGAATGCAAGAATACTGAGAGACCTGTGGAGATCTAATGGTATTGGGGTAGTTTCTTGTTTTTCTCCTGGGACTTCTCCAAAATGACAAATTGAAACATTTTCTTGCCCTGATAGAAGATTTTTGGGTTAAATTCTGTGCAAGGCAGGCTGCATAATAGCAAAGGAAAGAGAAGATCCAAGAAGCAGTGTTTAAGGGAACATGACTGTAGATATCGCTAATGATTTAAGGATAAAAAGAAACACATAAGGAGACAATTTTTTGTTATATTTCTGTTTCCAAGTATATTTATCCTTTTGGCTTAAAATTATATACAGTATTTACAGTCATTTGGTGATATTCCTCTTTCGTAGGAAGAGACATATACTATGATTTATTTGTATTCTTTCCTAGTTGTAATTGTCTCTTTTCATTTGTTCATTAATTTTACTAATAATATAATTAATATTATTTTAATTACAAATCAAGGCCTGGCGCTACTTAACACAGCAGTGCAAATCCTCTGAAACAAATCAGAATCAGGTACTTTTGTCATTTTCTCTTGAGATTCCCTCTGCACTTCTTTGTGGTCCTAATCTGATGAATCTGCAAGCCTTAGTCCTGAGGTTTCCAGTCACCGTCTTCCAGAGACTTTTTTTATTGCATTGTGTTAAATTTTGTTGTTTGGGTTTCTTATCATCCTTCTTCTTGGTTTTGAATTTCAGTGGTTCATGGAGGCACGTTGAGATTAAAAGATGCACACATCACTGTGATTGTCATACTAATCTTGCTGGGAATATGATTCTAGCTTAAAAATGATTTTTTTCTTAGATTTTTGAAGGCCTTGTTTTTGATTTTTCTTCTAGGTGTTCTGTTATTGCAAATCATAAGACTACTCTGACTTTCCGTTTGTTCTGTATTACCTGCTTTTTTCTTTGTGAAAGCTTTTAGGACTTAAAAAAATTTTGGAATGGACATTTTTCTTGAAATTCAGTGAATCTTTTCTATTTAGAAATTTCTTTTCAGTTTCAGCACAGTATTCTTTAGTCAGTTATTTAATTTTCTCCTTTCAATCTCTTTATTATTTGACCTCCTCCCTTTTCTGTCCCAGGGTTCAACCAAGAGCCTTGTGCATTCTAGGGAGACACTCTATCATTGAACTACCCAATTTCCATCTTTCTCCTTCAAAACACATTTTTATTAGATGAAATGTTGGTACCTCTAAGTTAATCTAATTTACTTATCTTTTTTCTATTTAAAACATTTTTTTTTTCCTGTTTTCTGGGAACTTTTTGACTTTAATTTTTAACCCTTCACTTGAATTTTAATATTCTAATGTTTATGTCTGTGAACTCTCTCCATTCTTTAATTATTTTTATAGAAATAAACATCTTGTTCTTTTGCAATAAATAATAAATTGCCTTATATTATTTCTGAGGATACTACATGTAGATTAAGAAAACTTTGGTTTTTTTCCTCTGTGCCTAGGTGGCAGGTCAGCTGGTGAGTTTTAGCATAGGGAATTTTAGTGGTGGGCCAATCATCCTATAGGAATACCCTCAAATGTTAGTATCTCTTGATTTTCTTTCCTCCTTTAGAGGTGGTTCTCCCTAATGGATTTACCATTCTGTTTTTAGGACATAAAAGCTAAGCTGTCATTATTTTGAGATGACCAATGCGATTCTGAAGGTTTTCTATTTTTCTGTGCAGACTTTCTTTGGACTTGTTTTCATTCCAAATGACTGTTTCCTCATACCCAGTGTGCCTGGTGTCTCATTTCTGAACCTCTCTGATAGAACATTTTCAGAGAATAAAACTTGCTGGGACAAAAGGGCAGACATCTGTCTGGAAGAATCTAGGGAAAACGACCTCTTTTTTAACCCATCCTTGCTAGCCATTTAGTTTTTAGCCCCCTTTGGGCCTCTGTCTCCAATTCTTCTTTATCTTCTCTGCTGGGGATCCAACCTAGGGCCTTGTGCATACCTGTCAAATGCTGTACCACTGAGCTGTATTCCGTCCATCCAGTTCTTGAGTATTTCTGGGATTCTGAAGTATGAATTGACTTCTCATTGGCCTATGACTTTGGTCTCGTGGGGATCAAGCTTTCCTTACCTATCCTAGCTAGTAGCTTCTCATCAATCATCCTCCTTCTCAAACTTTTGTTTCTCTTGTCTTACTCTTTCTATTTGGTCTTACGAGTTACAGTATGGATTAGTGGGGAGGAGGTACAGATATGTGTTCATGCCATTGAGTTTATTGGAAATTTTCTTTTTGTCTTCTTTTGGATTTTCATCCCATTTATGCTGAAGTTTGACATTTTTTACATTTTTGCATGAAATCCATATATTTTACTTAGAAAAATCAATGAGAAAGAATGTGAATAGGACACATTTACATGTGTTCCATTGTTCTGGGGATTCCAAAAATGGAGCACTGGGCATGGAAGGGTTAGTTTCCTTCAGATTCTCTTTTGTGAGTTTCCTATTAAGTGTGCCCCATCCTTGGTCCAGCCTGTGATGTCTTTCTGATATATCAGAGCACTTACATTACTTTGTGTAGAAACTGCTTTGTATTCTTTTCAGTTTAGTAATTTTGCTTCCTTT